TTCGCTACCGCACCGATCTCGACAAGGCCGTCATTCACTTCATGTTCGAGCGCCTGGGGCGGCCGGTGGAGCAAATCCTCCTGCCGAGCGCGTCCCACAACGCCGCCAGCTCGGAGGCCTCGCCTCTCGAGGAGGAGGGCGAATGCGACCAAACCGGGATGGGGGAGTGGCATTTTTACTGGATGACGGTCGCCCGGGTCTGCGTGATCTTCGCCACGGTCGAATTCCGCCTGCAGGATAACCAGATCATCAACCACTTTCCCAATCACTACGAGTTGACGCGGAAGGACTTGATGTACAAAAACATCAAGCGCTACCTCCGCGAGCACTCCGTGGACGGCCAGCTCGATCCGAAGTTGATTTTATCCACCCCGCTGGATTGGGCGGCCGCGGTGTCTTTTTCGCAGAGCTCCGGCAGCAGTCATGGGGGGACCCTCGCGCGGTACGCCTTCAGCGAAGGGGTCCCCATCACCTACAACATCCCCAATGATATGAGCATGTTCATCGAGGAGTTCAAGCGCTGTGAGGGCTCGACGTGGATTGTGAAGCCGACCGCCCGCTCGCAGGGAAAGGGGATTTTCCTCATCAACCGCATCCAGCAGCTCCTGCAGTGGATGAAAAGGCGGCAGACGGATGCACTCACGGCGGGCTCCACCAACGGCAAAGGGGGGCATTACTTTAATGGGAGTAATGGCGGAGGAGGAGGGGGGGCGAACACTCCGAAGCCGAATTCAACCCCCGCGTCGACCCTGCGGGATTCCGGAAAGGGGGCCAACGGCAGGGCAGGGAATCATCGCGAGAGTAAAACCGACGCCGCGGCGGTGGCGATGACGCTGTCGAGCGCCTCCCAGACGACCTTTGGGGGGTCCTTTATCATCAGCCGGTACGTCGCGAATCCACTGCTGATTGGCGGCAAGAAATTCGATCTCCGGCTCTACGCCCTCGTGGTGTCTTTTAAGCCGCTGGTGGCGTATTTTCACCGCGCCGGCTTTGCGCGGTTCTGCGCGACGAAGTACGTCGGGGATCAGACATCCGGGCAGCACCTCGGCTCGCACCTCACAAACGTCGCCTTGCAAAAAGGCGACAAACACTACAACACCACCCATGGTGGTAAGTGGTCCTTCAAGAACTTTCTTCTCTATGTTGAGGGTCTTCACGGGCCCTACATCGCCTCGACCCTCCGCCTTCGCATTGAATTTCTCATCTTTCACTCGCTTCAGGCGGTCAGCATGGTGATGCTGAACGATAAGCACTGTTTTGAGCTCTATGGCTATGATATTCTGATCGACGAGAATCTCATGCCGCATTTGATCGAGGTGAACGCCTCTCCCTCGCTTTCCACCACCACGTTGGCTGATCGTCTTTTAAAGGAAGAGGTACTAACCGACATGCTAAAGATTGTCCTGCCTCCCGATTTCCCAAGCCCGTCGGCGATGTCCTACTCCGAATACCGCCTCCGCACCGATTTGACTTCTCAGCTCTCAACGGATTTCAAACTACTTAATTTCTAACGACCCATATTGTGGTCCACGCTTTTTTTTTCTTGTTGTTTTGTTTGGATTGTTTCTTCGCTCATACCCCACCTCTCATGTGCACCAGAAAGCACGTTCTGTATGATGTGAAATTGAAAAAGTGACGAACGGGTGCGGTATGTTTGTGGTGTTTTTTCCTCGACTAGAATAAGTACTCACTATATTTCACTATCCCTTTTGGAAATTATTTTTCCATAAATTTTTATCAGTAATAAAACCACATTTCCTCTCATCTTTGGCAGTCCGCTTGCCTGGAAAGGAATGAATAGGACAGATGGGGGAAGTATTATTTTATTATCCCGATACACACTAGGATGAGATATCCGAGTGTGAGGGATGTGGTGTAGATCTATGTATATGTGTTTGACTGGCTCTATAAATCAATTTGATGCGCTTCCTGCTGAAACACTCAGATGGAGGCCATTTCTTTCAGGGATACGGCATTGTTTTCTTTATTTTGAATCTTTGACTTTGAAGCGCGGTGTACTTGAGGAGGAAAACAAACAATGAGACGGGAGAAACGCAGCTAAAAGAGCGCGCTAAGCATTATATATTTTCTTTTCACAAAATTTGTTTTACGTATTTTTATTGCTATAGTGTGGGAAGTGGTATTCTGTGAATTTATAAGGATCTGATGGCATAGCATTCAAGGGACATGCCACCACCCCACACGTCATTCTGCCGCGACTGCATCTATCGTTTATCCTCAACGTTCGTGCAGAGGCTTGCCGATGCTCCCCGTTGACGCCCCGCTTGTCGGATGACCCAATAAAGGCATCCTTTTCCTTCTTTTCCGTCCTATTTCCTTTCCCCGCGTAGTCTTTTCCTAGGTTCACCCCCGATAGCCGCGTCCCTTCTTTCGTTTTCTCCCTTCCGTCGCTTGTGTGTGCCTTCTCAGCCGGCGGTCCGAGCCGTGCACGGGGCATTCCCTTCCACCGACAACCGCGCCGGGGGGAGTCCGATGGCGGCGGGCGCGCCCGAGGCCCTGGCGGCGCTGGGGGAGCCGCCCCCCGCCCCCGACTTCTCCCAGACCGAATTCCGCCGCGTCGAGAAGCGCTTCAAACTCGCGCAACTCCCGCGCCGGGCGGCGCGGCGGGCCGGGGCCCCGGCG